CTAAACCCTAAACCCTAAACCCTAAACCCAGATAAGGCCCCTAATTCCCCTCATTCCCTGCGAACCAACAGCAAGTAAAGAGAGAGGCGGCAGTCAGTGGCACCTTCGGATCCTTCAAGCCGCTTTGGCGTTGAAAGACGAGGGGCCAATAATTGATTCGGGGCTTGAGGGTTAGGGTTCAGGGTTTATGGGCTGGGATTTAGGGTTTTAGAATTTGGGTGTAGGGTTTAAGGTTCAGGGTGGAACCCGAAGTGCCAAGAATTGTTTAGGGTTTAGGGCTTTAGGGTTTTAGGGTCCAAGGTTTCGGGCTTAGGGTTTATAAGGTTTAGGGTTTAGGAAACCCTAATCCCTAAACCCTAAATTTTGGGCGCGGGCAGAACCTTCAATCTGTAGAAATCCAACCACATGCACCCAATCGTCCGGCCCCTATTAAATTTCAATCAGTGTACCACTTTCTACTTTCACCACTTTCTACTTTCACCACGACGACTACTATTGCTACTTTTACTATAACTACTTCTCCTACTCCTCCCACTCCTACTCCCACTCTCACTCCTGCTCCCACTCCCACTCCTACTGCTACTTCCTTTTTGGGCTAGTTATAAGGGGGTTATAGTATGCTACACCAAAGAAGTGCTACTGCCTGGACGCCTCATCGGCCTAGAGGTACGACCGGGAGTCGCGCGTTCTCATCGTTTCCTATGAGACCTTCCGCGGCCACGCGCACGAGGCCCCTGCACGCGGCTGTGAGTGTAGGGCTTACTTGGAGGTTCATGGTACTTATTAGCCAATTATAACTGTATTTATAACCCACCTTATAAGCCCCCTAAGTGCCCTAATATGGTTATAAGTACAGTTATATGTACATTAGAATTGGTTAATAAGTACCATGAACCTCCAAGTAGGGCTTAGGGCAGTTCCTCCAGCTCAGGGGGCATGCTGGGGGCTAGGATGGACATGCAAGTGCCCTTCTTGGGGTGTCCGAAATGAGGATTATTGCAGCCAGTTAGCATCTGCTTAGGGGGTGCGCCTGTTGTTGCAAACTACCCATTTATGACAGTCTGTTGCTTGAGCTTGTTCCAAGCAGCCTCAGTAGAAAGCCAAACCCGGAACCCCAAACTGCAAGCCCCAGGATGTCAATATGGGGGTTTGCAATAATCATGGACCCTCAAAAGACCCCCAAATAGTAGGATTCAAGTATAGTAGGGACCACATTAAGGTACCTCTAATTTCGTAAACCCCTGTATTCCAGAACCTTCAAGGGAGCATGAGTCCGAAACTATATTTTTTAAGTATAGGATCCAAGCACTTACAAGCCAGTTCTGGGCCCTTGTCAGTGTGCTTCTGCCTTGTGGGACCCCTCCCCAAGACCCCCTAAAACCCTTTAAAATCCAAAGGGGCTGTCGCCCACAGCCGGGCGCGGCCCGTGCCGACGAGGGGAGCAACAGCAAGAGCAACACCAACCAAAAACAACAAGAACAACACCCACGACGACGTCGACGACGGCAGCAGCAGCAGCAAGAGCAACAGCAAGAGCCACAGCAACAACAAGAACAACAACAAGAAGAAGAGCAACAACAGCAACAACAGCAACAAGAGCACAGGAGTCACTGGAGAGGACGGACCGTAGGCTTGAACTGCTCCCTTTTCCCTTGTCCTGTCTGCTCTTCACTTTCACATGCGCGCGCGCGCGCACGATGGCCTTTTTCGGCGCACGCGAGACGCGCGTGCCGTTCTGCGTGTGGCAATGCTTCCCAGGCTGCGTTGTACAAGGCCCTGCCGCGGCCCTTAGCCCGCCCCACCCTCCCCCCCAACAGTCTTGCTGATGTTGCTGATGCGCATCCCGGATCCCCTAGGAGATATGAAGCCTCGATGATGCCAACACTTGCCACCGCCCCTAACCGCACATCATGAGCATCAGCAGCTCCGGCCTCCAAGCATTGGCGGCTTGTGGCGGCTTGAAAACGGAAATGTCCATCACAGCACGAAAACCACGGTATTTACAGCGAAAATTGCGTTTTCCAAGCTCCCAGCTGCATCCGAAACCCGAGGCCCGACCCGCTGATGCTCATGATGCGCGCTCTTTTTGGGGTCATTTGGGGTGACCGGTACCCCCCAAAAAACATCAACAACGCGTCTTCGGCAAAAGTGAAAAATATAGTCGATGATGCTCTGAGGGGTCGTTTTTGGGACCCCTGTGGGGCACCCCAAAAATGCGTCCGGAAGCCCAATTTCGGTTGGGAATAGCGCGTTTTTCGCAACAAAAATGCACCCAAAAAATGATGCCGAATTTGGAGCCGGATGTTGGTATGACATCACCCGGGGTAGCCAAAGCTAGGGCTGCCGCCGGGGGGGGGGGGGGGGGGGGGGGGGGGGGGGGGGGGGGGGGGGGGGGGGGGGGTGGGGTACTTAAACTCTGAACCCTGCACTTAGTGGGGCTTAGGGCTTCGCTGATCCAAGGTCGCGGATGCGGGAATCGACCTCATCGTCTGCGATGAAGCCCACAAGCTGAAGAATGACGAGGCCTCTAAGTAGGATGTTCATCATGGGGTTTAGGGTTTAGGGTTTAGGGTGTAGGGTTTACGTTTTAGGGTTTAGGGTTTCGGTTAGAGGTTAGAGGTTAGACGTTATAGTTAGAGCCTACAACTTTGCAGTGTTGCGGGTAGGCCCTTAGCACCCTTCATGGGTAGTTCTGTAAATTAGGGGCCCCTTTTTGGGTACCCTAAAAGCTAGTATCCCCCAAAAAAGGACTATATTTTCGAGAAGTGACTAATTACACACATCACCCTGAAGCACCCTGAGTGAACCAGCCCTAAACCCTAAACCCTAAACCCTGAACCCTAAACCCTAAACCCTAAACTAGCCCCTAGTCCCAAGCCATCAATGGTCTTGGTCTATGAGCCCTACTGTACACCCCCCCCCCCCCCATATACTTATCTCGCCAGGGGCTGATTGAACTTTGATCTTTGTGGGGTTTCCTTATTTAGTAATTTAGTACGAAGAATGCAGTTTATCCTTTTATTCCTCGGTTACTGGAGAAGTAAGTGCAAAACCCTCAAAAAACGTTGAACATAAACCTTTTTGGGATTCCTTAAAATTGGTAGGAAGAATAAACCTTGCTTATTCCTTGGTTATCGGAGAAGCAAGTATAAAAAACCCTCAAAAATGGATCAGAAAGTTTAACCTTCTTTATTCCTTGGTTACTGGAGAAGTAAGTACAAAACCCTCAAAACCGGGTAAAACCCTAAACCCGAAACCCTAATCCCCGAGGCTGCCACGACGCGATGCATCGCCGGCCTTCCGGCCAAGCGGCGACTCCTGATCTCGGGTACACCGATCCAGAACAGCTACTTGGACAGCGCTTAGGGTTCAGGGTTTAGAGTTTAGGGTTTAGGGTTTGGGGTTTAGGGGTGTAGGGTTTAGGGTTAGGGTTAGGGCTTAGGAGTTGAACAGCTACTTGGGCAGGGCTTAGGGTTTAGGGGTGTAGGGTTTAGGGGTCAGGGTTCAGGGTTTCCAGGGCTTTGGGCTTTAGGGGGTTTAGGGTCTAGGGCTGTTGAGTAGAATTGGTGTGTTTTGTGAGGTAGGGGAACCTATCAAGTAAGTAGCCCAAAAAGTACGTGTTTTTTTTTCCTTGGGTCACTGAAAACCTAAGGGGTTCGGGGCTTTAGAGTTTTTGGTTTAGGGTTTAGGGTGTTTTGAGAGTGGGCTTAATGAGTTCCTGTCCAACCCCGGCCCGGCTGCCTAGGGTTTACGGTTTAGGGTTTAGGGTTTAGGGAGAGGTTGGGGTTTCGCTTTTTTTGGGGTTGCTAAGGGGTCTTAGGTTTTAGGGTTGAGGGATGTAGGGCATCAGAGCAGGGTGATTTTGCTGTAGGGGTCAGGGTTGCCTGCTCGCTTTGCCGCGACAAAAGTTCCTGTAAGGTCCCTCAATTCAGTCGGTGTTAGTGTTGGGCGGATCACCACCCTGATCCCGAAATCGGAGCCAAAGCACCCGAGGCATTGTTTAGAGTTTAGGGTTTAGGGTTTAGGGTTAGGGTTTAGGGTTTAGGGATTGAATTCTCTCTATGCCTTGAATTCGCTAAGCCAAGACCCCGAACAGAAAGCACTTAAACGAAACACAACAAAACGCCACCAAAATGTCCGGTTAGAGAGGGTTTTCCTATAGTTGTCGGCACAAATACTCATAGTATTCCCTGGGGGTCCCTATACAGTTCTCTTATAATAGCCCCCAAACCCTGTTCTAATTGTTAAGGCCCCTAAAGTAGGGTGATTGTAGGATTTCAGGATTGCAGGATAAAAGGGCTATGGGACGTTATGGGGGGGGGGGGGGGTTAGGGACTATGGCGCTGAGGGGTTGTCGGATCCCTGAGTGAGGGTTTTGGGCTGAGACACCAAGCACCCATACCCTTTCCTTTCCAAAGCCAGTCAAGATCCGGGTTCAAGCTCTGAACCCTTTGGGGCTTAGGGTTTGGACGCTTCAAAGCTACGTGCGTCGTTCTCTATATCAATAGGATCCGTTTGGGGGTCCTTTTTTACCCCCAACCCTAAACCTTAAACCCTGAACCCTAAACCCCAAACCTAAACCTTTAACCCTCAACCCTCAACCCTAAACCCTCAACCCTCAACCCTCAACCCTCAACCCTCAACCCTCAACCCTAAACCCTAAACCCTAAACCCTAAACCCTAAACCCTAAACCCTAAACCCTAAACTAAACCCAGGTGACCCAAAACTGCCCCAAAAAGGGAACCTAATTTAGAGAACTACCCACATGCTGCTGTTGGGCATGTTCTTGCTGTGCCACAAAGCTTGGGTTCTGCAGCCATTTGACGAGGTATTTCCCCTGCCTTATAAGGCCTTGAAGAACAAAGGGTTTAGGGTTCAGGGTTTAGGGTTTAGGGTTTAGGGTCAGCTACGAGTGTTAGGATCGAGTGTTCAGGGCTTTTAGGGTTTGGGGTTCGAGGAATTTCGTGGGTTTCAGGCTCAGTGTCTAGCGGCTTGTGCCATGGATCCTCGTGTACCTAAGGTTCTTTGGAGCATGAACCTGGTGATGTGGATAGCTCTGCGTGTCTACAGCCGCTTCCTTGTTCGGCGGCTGCAGCCGAACCAAAGCACCATCGATGTCGAAACCTGGCGAAAGCTCTGGTGGGAGAGGCCTGCTGCAACAAAGCTGTGTGTGGGGTCATTCCCGTGTCCACCATATACTGCCAACATGGAGGGTTCTGGGCATCCACGGTGGGATGCCGGCGATTTGTTTCGCTCCCGGACAGGCTGGCCGACCAGCGCAGAGGCTTGGGAAGAGCGCTTGCGCCTTCATGACGGCAACCTCTCCGAGTTTGGAGCCTCGGCGCCACGCACCTTCGAGGAGCTGTCCGTCCTCCTGCGCGATGGTCTTGAGCCATTGCTTCTCATTGACCGCGAACAGTGGGGCCCACTGCGAGCAGCACTTCCCAACTGCGACTTCAGGCTGGTGTTCCGCAACGAGTTTCGGGAGGCTCAGTGGGACAATCGTGATGCCGTGCAGTGGGGTACGCCCACACGTCTGCGCGCACTCGTTGATGCACGGAACGTGACCATGAGCGATTTCGCCGACAAGCAGCTGGATCTCTCTGTGTCCATTCGGGTCCACGTGGCGGAGCTCGGGCAAGAGCCCGAGGTTCTGCCAATGGTGGCTGAACGCATTGAGCGGATTGTCTTTGCAGGGACAGAGGCAGTCGCCTTAATGGCGGCTTACGAAGAAACCATCCGCACGTCTGAGCATCCGGCCATTGCGCAGGCACGCCCAGCCATAAGCTCAATGAAGCTGGATGCCCTTCAGCTTCCCATGGAGGCCCTTGCAGAGGCTGTGCCCAATGCCTTCGTGGAACGGGTGCCGGCATCCACAGCATTGGAGTGGGTGGCACAGGACCCTGTGCGGAACGTCGTGGTTTGTGCGGCAAAATATTCTTTCCTCCACGATTCAGCTTTCTACATCAGCGAACAGGAGATGGAAGAGCATGGAGATAGCCTCTACAATCTTGTGTGTCATAGGGGCGCCGAGCGTGTGCTCTTTCACTGTGACCACAGCAACAGCCGGGGCCCGTGCGTAGCAGAATCATTCCTCGAGATCTTGCGCAGACAGAAGAACGATAAGATGCGGTCGTATGTGATCGACCACGGCAACAGAGCCATGGATTTTCCTGGCATGAGAAACCTCAGAGGTCAGGGCAACGAGGCTGCTCGTGCAGCCGGGCTTCGGGCTGTGCGAGTAGCCACGAAACCCTAACCTCTAAACCCTAAACCCTAACCTCCAAACCTCTAATCTAAACCCTAAACTCCAGACTCTTCCCCCTTGACTAGGAGTGAAGCCCACCCAGGAAAGTAGGGTGGGAAACACTGGCCTCTGACCCGGGGCCGCCAGCGCAGATCATGTGCGAAGACAAGCAAGCTGTTCTTTAGGGTTTGGGGTTTAGGGTTTAGGGTTCAGGGTGTCGGAGGCAGCCCAACGGACCTTACACTTGTTGCTCAATGAGTTTCGCGCAGTGACGCCGAGCAGTCTGAACTGGTCCTGGGCATACAAGGTCTAGGACCCAGAGCAGGCCCTTATTCCCTTTTTTTGAGTTCTGGGTTCCCATATAAAAAACCCTTTAAACCAAAACCCTGCCAAACCACCATCACATTCCGAGCTCAGAGCCATCCTGTCAGGCGAAGGCAGCAAACGCCACACTAATTATCGCCCATGAGGACATCTTCCCCTCAGCCCTAAACCTTAAAACCCTACCCTGTAGTCGTGGAAAGAAGCTTTGAGTTCAGAGATCCCCGGATGAGGCCCCCACCCCCGTACCCGGTGTTGGGCTCCTTTTGGGCATTTACCTACTGGCTCATAGAGGGAATGAAGGAATGAGGCACCTGTTCAGGGTTTAGGGTTTAGGGTTTAGGACCTCATACCTCCCCCCCCCCCCCCCCATTTATGGTTGTGTGCGCGTTCTCGGCTCACCTCCCAGCCCCAAGATACCCCAACGACCCGGAACCCTAAAGACCAGGAAGCCCTAAGCTCTCTTTTACACCCTGAAGCCCTGAACCCTAAGCCCTAAACCCTAAACCCTGAACCCTAAACCTAAACACTTCTTGAGATGCGCCACTTGACTGAAGGCTTGGAAGAGTTCTTCACCCTAGTCAGCCTGGCCAACCCAGGCCCCGAATTGTTTTGGTTTGGCGTTTAGGGTTTAGGGTTTAGGGTTTAGGGTTGAGGGTTGAGGGTTTAGGGTTTAGGGTTTAGGGTTTAGGGTTTAGGGTTTAGGGTTTAGGGTTTAGGGTTTAGGGCTGGGGTTTAGGATTATGTATACTGAGGGTATGTGTTTTTTTTGCGGGCACGTCGGGTTATTGGGGTGCTTGCGATATTCAGGGAAGTTAGGGTAGCTAGGGCGCTTAGGATGCTCAGGATGGTTGGGATAGCCAGGGGTGTTTAGGACGTAAGGGATTAGGGTTTAGGTGAGTTTAGGGTTAGGGTTTCGGGTTTAGGGTTTAGGGCACTTCTGGCAGTCAGGGTACGTAGGGTATTGATTGTATTCAGGGCATTTGGGGTCAAGGCTTGAGGTCTAAGGGTGGTCCCTTAGTATGGGCCCTTAAAAGGGGACCCCTCATACACCCCTACTCTACCCTATGGAACCCACTGGCCCATACTTCACAACCCTTTAAGGAAGGAAAGGCACCATGCCCTAAACCCTAAACCCTAAACCCTAAATCCTAAACCCTAAACCCTAAACCCTAAACGGGGTTTGGACTTAAGTTGGTTTTGTTTCTTGGATACGCGCCAGCGCTTTTAGAGTTTCCGGCTAGAAGTCTAGAGTTCCGAGCGATTTGTGTTTTCTCTTAGTTTTCTTATTCTGCTTATTGTTCAGCTTCTTCCTCTTCTTCTTCTTCTTCTTCTTCTTCTTCTCATCTCTCTCTCTCTCTCTCTCTTTCTTTCTCTCTTTATCTTGATATTTGTCTGCTTCTCGTTCTCTCCTTTGTTTCCTCATTTTATTTCTTCTCTCGCCCTACAAGCGACCTAAGCTAAACCCTAAACCCTACAGAACCTGATTCCAAGCCTCTCTTTCGGCCAGGGGTGTTCGGAGAGCTGAACGAGTTTCGGCGGAGGTCATGGGCTTATTACCTTCCCTGGGTTTTGGAGGGTTTAGGGTTTAAGGTTTAGGGGGGGGGGGGGGGGGGGGGTTTGGAGCACTATACTTTAGTTGTTTTTTTGGGTTCTGGGTTCCTGTTATAGCTACTTATGCCTAAAAAGTATGTACCCTAAACCCTAAACCCTAAACCCTAAACCCTAAACCCTAAACCCTAAACCCCAAGAAAGGGTGCCTTCTTGTGATCGTATGGTTCCTGGGCTACCAAGATGTTGGTTTCAAGGTTTGGTGGGACTCGGGTTCGAGTGGGGTGAGGATTTAGGGTTTAGGGTTTGGGGTTTAGGGTTTAGGCTTAGGGTGGGTAACCCTAAACCCTAAACCCTAAACCCTAAACCCTAAACCCTAAACCCTAAACCCTAAACCCTAAACCCTAAACCCTAAGCACCTCAATGACATGAGTTCGGGCATGTGGCTGCGTAGCCAAACGATACAAGCTGGGTTCAGGACAGAGAAATCCTGTTGCAATGAACTTTCAGCCCTGTGAGCTCTTCAACCTAAAGCAACGAAGCCCCGAGCCCCAACACCCACTTTATAGGGTTTAGGGTTGAGGGTCTAGGGTTTAGGGTTTATGGCTTAGGGCTTAGGGCTTGGACCTGAGGGTTAAGAATTTAGATTTAGGGTTAACCCGCTAAAACCCGTCCCAACACCCTATAGGTTCAAGCCAATGAGCCCAACGCCCCCAACCCAAAAGCCTTAGGGGTTACGGTGTAGAGTTTAGGGTTTAGGGCTTAGGGCGTAGGGTTTAGGTTGAGGGTGTAGGGTTTAGGGTGCAGGGCTTCGGGTTACAGAACGACATCAAGTTCGGGCAGACGCTGTTCGCAACTTCGTGCTTGAGTGGAGCAGCCATTCCTTCGAAATTTCACTCAACAATGTTGGAGTCACCAGAATTTCACTCAACAAGTGCTTACGGCATGGGGTTGGCATTTGCTATATCCGAAGTCTTCGTATGGCTCTACAGGCGGACCAACACAGACAGTCTGCAGCCGAGCTTCCGGTGCCGTCTCCTTTTTCTCGCACAGCTACAGTGAAGTGTGGCATCAGCCTTTTTCCATGCGTTCCAGATTCTAAGCCCCCCCTAAACACCTATAGAACCTCAACGACCGAAACCCTAAAAATCCTAAGCCTAAACCCCAAAGCCCCAAACCCCAAAGCCCCTGAACCGTAAACCTCAAAACCCCAAAACCCTATAACCCTGAAAAGTCTCTGACACCCCAAAACCCCACACCCTAAACCCTAAACCCCGAACCCATAATCCCCAACCCTATTAAACCCTGAAAAGCCCGCACAAGTCCAGCCCTTATCCCTAGACCCCACCCTAAACCCCAAGCCCTAAACCCTAAACACCAAACCCCAAACCCCAAACCCTAAACCCTAAACCCTCAACCCCCAACCCTAAACCCTGAACCCTAAACCCTAAACCCTAAACCCTAAACCCTAAACCCTAAACCCTAAACCCACACAAGCCCGTGTCCGGAGGTACGCCAATCCCATCCTCAAGGGCCGCGAGCCCACGGCCACGCCGGAGGAGCGGCAGCGAGCCGAGGACGAGGGTTTAGGGTTTAGGGTTTAGGGTTTAGGGTTTAGGGCTTAGGGTTTAGGGTTTAGGGTTTAGGGTTTAGGGGTTAGGGGTTAGGGGTTAAGGGTTAAGGGTTTGGGGTTTAGGTTTCGGGTTTTGGGCTTGGGGTTTAGGGTTTAGTAATTAGGGTTTGGGGGGTTTAGGGTTTGGGGTTTAGGTTTGGGGTTTAGGGTTTGGGGTTTGGGGTTTAGGGTTCAGTGTTTGGGTGGTTTAGGGTTTGGGGGTTGTGGTTTGGATTTAGGTTTGGGGTTCAGGGTTTAGGGTTTAGGGTTTAGGGTTTGGGTGGTTTGGGGTTTTGGGGTTTAGGGGTTTGGGGTTTAGGGTTTGCGGTATAGGGTTCAGGGTTTGGTGTTTAGGGTTTAGGGTTTGGGAGTGTAGGGTTTGGGGTTTAGGGTTTGGGGTTTCTGGTTTAGGGATTCCGTGTGAGGGGTTTAGGGGTTTGGGGTTTAGGGTTTAGGGTCTGGGGGTGTAGGGTTTGGGGTTTAGGGTTTGCGGGTTTGGGGTTTAGGGTTTAGGGTTTGGGTTCTGGGTGAGGGTTTAGGGTTTAGGGTTTAGGGTTCCGAGTTTGGGGTTTGGGGTTTGGGGCTTAGGGCGTAGGTTTCCGGTTTGGGGTTTGGGGTGTCTGGTTAGGGTTTCGGGTTTGGGGTTTGGGTTTAGGAGTTCGGGTGTAGGGGCTTTGGGGAGGGTTAGGGGTGTAGTGGTTTCGGGGCTAAGGTTTTTTTTTTTTTTTTGGGGGGGGGGGGGGGTAGGGGTTTAGGGTTTGGGGTGTGGGTTTTGGGGGTTTCGGGGGGTTAGGGGTATAGGGGTTTAGACTTTGGGGTGTGGGCTTTAGGGGGTTTAGGCGGTTTAGAGGTTCAGAGGTTTAGGGGTTATGGGGTTTGGGGTGTAGGGTTTGGACTTTGGGGGTTTATGGTGGAGGGTTGGGGAGCGGGAAGAGGCGTGGCTTTACCCAGTCTTTTCTTAGGCTTGGCTTGGCTTTCAAGGGAGTCGAGCTTGAACCAGAAGCATGTACGCCGAAGCGGGTCCCTCAATCTACTCCTAACATGGCCCTTACATTCCCTTCGAGGGTCCTTAGACAGGGTCCCCAAATCCAAGCAGTTCCTCTTGACGGCGTGGTCTTGCAATGGCGGCACGAAGGGCGCCAAGCCCAGCCCAGCCCAGCCAAGCCAAGCCTTCGTCCCCAGCCAGGTCCAACCCCCGACACAAGCCCAGCTGCACCAAAAGCCAAGCCGCACCGAGACATGGAACAGAAACACCTGCCACCGTGCAAACTGCAGGAGCCCGAAGCCCGAAACCCGCTAAGCCACCCTAAACCCTAAACCCTAAACCCTAAACCCTAAACCCTAAACCCTAAACCCTAAACCCTAAACCCTAAACCCTAAACCCTAAACCCTAAACCTCTCAGGAGATGCTGGCAGAGGTCTCCCACGTCACGGACCGCTTCATCCTGCGCCGAACAAACCGTCTGAACGCGCGCTTCTGGGACTTCAAAGATCCAAAAAGCATCCCTAAAAGCCCCAAACAGGGTTT